GGCCCCGATAAGGTTGAAATCGGCCCCGCTGAGGTTGAGACAGCCCCAGTGAGGTTGTGACAGCCCTGGTGAGGTTGAAACAGCCCCAGTGAGGTTGAAACGGCACCGGTGAGGTTGAGACGGCCCCAGTGAGGCTGAGACGGCCTCAGTGAGGTTGAATCAGCCCTGGTGAAGTCAAGACGGCACCGGTGAGGTCGAAATAGCCATGGTGAGGTCGAAATGGCCCCAGCGAGGTCGAGACGGCCCCGGTGAGGCTGAGACAGCCCTGGTGAGGTTGAGATGGCCCCGGTGAGGTTGAATCAGCCCCGGTGAGGTCGAGACGGCCCCGGTGAGGCTGAAACGGCCCCAGTGAGGCTGAATCAGCCCTGGTGAGCATGCAATGGCCACAGTGAGCTTGCGACGGCCCTGGTGAGGTTGAGACGGCCCCGGTGAGGTTGAAACAGCCCCTGTGAGGCTGAGACGGCCCTTGTGAGGCTGGGACGGCCCCTGTGAGGCTGAGATGGCCCCTGTGAGACTGAGACGGCCCCTGGGAAGCTGAGAAAAATACCACATGAACTCACTCATTTATGGATAATAAGGACCATTATAGACTGATGAACAAAAATGGATACAGAGGCAGAGCAGCATTGAGCAGAATGTCAAACTACAGTGGGAACCCTGAGGAGGGTTGGGGGGGTAGGAGATCCGAAGGACTTATATGCATGCATATGAGAATAACTAATCGACACAAGACACTGGGGGGTGGGGGAAGCTGGGGGAATGTCAAGGGGGGGGAAGGAGACATGTGTAATACTCTTTGTAATACTTTAAGAAATAAAAGAATGAACGAAAGAAAGAAAGAAAGAAAGAAAGGAAGAAAGAAAGAAAGAAAGAGAGAAAGAAAGAAAGAGGATGTTACACAGCCCACATGGGGGGAGCACCTCAAGTGACCAGCCTGGTTGATCAGAGAGGCTGTGCCACTGGATTCTACAGAACACCTACTACATCAGGCTACTCTACCAAGCCTGGGAGATGTAGCAGCTCTATTTAATACATATAAACAAACACAGTGAGGCTGCCAAAATGAGAAGACAAAGAAACATGTCCCAAATAAAAGAACAGAACAAAACTTCAGAAAAATAACTAAACAAAATAGAGACAAGTAATCTACTAGATGCAGAGTTCAAAACACTGGTTATAAGAATGCTCAATTAACTTCATGAGAACTTCAAAAGCATAAAAAAGAACAAATCAGAAATGAAGGATACACTAACTGAAATGAAGGGTAATTTACAGAGACTCAACAATCCAAAAAAATGAGGATCGTGTACAAAGCCTCTGGGACAACTTCAAGCATTCCAACATTCACACCATTGGGTGTCGGAAGGAGAAGAGAGAGAGCAAGAAATTGAAAACCTATTTGAAAAAATAATGACAGAAAGCTTCCCTAACCTGGTGAAGGAAATAGAATAAGATGAAGCCAAAGATGTCTACACCAAGACACATCATAATTAAAATGCAAAAGGTTAAAGACAAAAAGAGAATTTTAAAAGCAGCAAGAGAAAAACAGTTAGTTACCTATAAGGGAGCTTCCATAAGACTGTCAGTTGATTTCTTTTTTTTTTTTTGTCAGTTGATTTCTTTTTATTTTATTTTAATATATTTTATTGATTTTTTACAGAGAGGAAGGGAGAGAGATAGAGAGTTAGAAACATCGATGAGAGAGAAACATCGACCAGCTGCCTCCTGCACATCTCCCACTGGAGATGTGCCCGCAACCCAGGTACATGCCCTTGACCGGAATCGAACCTGGGACCTTTCAGTCCACAGGCCGATGCTCTATCCACTGAGCCAAACCGGTTTCGGCTGTCAGTTGATTTCTTAACACAAACTTTGCAGGCCAGAAGATATTGGCAAGAAATATTCAAAGTGATGAAAAATAAGGACCTACAACCAAGATTACTCTACCTAGCAAAGCTATCAGTTAGAATTGAAGGACAGATAAGGAGCTTCTCAGACAAGAAAAAGCTAAAGGAATTCATTATCACCAAATAAGTATTACAAGAAATATTAAAGGGTCTACTTGAAGAAGAAGAAGAAGGAGAAGAAGAAGAAGAAGAAGAAGAAGAAGAAGAAGAAGAAGAAGAAGAAGAAGAAGAAGAAGAAGAAGAAGAAGAAATGAAAAAAGATAAGCAATAAAATGGCAATAAATACATATTTATCAATTGAATCTAAAACAACAACAACAACAACAAAATAAAGGCATAAGCAAAACAGAAACAGACTCAATAGATACAGAGAACATTTTGGGAACAGGTGGGAGTGGGGTTGGGGGATGAGTGAAAAAGGTGAAGGGATTAATAAGTACAAATTGGTAGTGACAGAATAGTCATGGTGGTGTAAAGTGCAGCATAGGGAATCTACACTAATAAAAGGGAAACATGCAAATTGGTGTCACTCCACTACGCCCACCAGCCAATCAGAGAGACTATGCAAATTAACCAAACAAAGATGGTGGTTAATTTGCATACGCAGGTGCATAGCGAAGACTCAAGGCTCCAGCCAGAGTGAAGACTGAAGACTGAAGACAGACTGAAGACTGAAGAGGCTTGGCTTCTCTGCTGCGGCCAGACCAAAGGCTTGGGTCCCGGGTGCCGGAGGAAAACTGGTGCCAGCAGCCAGGGGAAGGAAGGCCTATTGCGCGAATCTTCGTGCAACAGGCTTCTAGTGTAGTCAATAATATTCTATTAACAATGTATGGTATTAGATGGGTGCAAGATATATCGGGATGCTCACTTAGTAAATTATGTAATGCCAACATAAGAAGTGTCCAAACCTGTAAAAATTTTTATGAGTTTATTTGAGCCAAAGTGACAACAATTGCTGGGAAGCAAAATCTCAATGGATTGAGAAAATGCTCCAGAGAATGACAGTTTTGCATCCTATTGTATACATTACAATCAAAAGAGGAGGCATAAGGAAGGATTTATAAAATTCATTGGTGATAGATTAGGGAGGCAGGAGAAAGCAAAGTGGGGAAATCTACGGGACTGGATAAAAAACGTTAAATGAAGAGACACATACTTCTTTTACATTGGTGGGTAGAGGACAGTTAATAATTAACATTTGTAGCACATAGAGTGGTATGCGGGGAACAAGATAACAATGAGGGAACAAGATACCTTGACCTTGGGCTCTGGTGGGAGATTGTGCCTTGAGGAGTCTGGGGAAAAAAGGATTACTCAGACATTTCAAAGGTATGTTATCTTAGATGTGAAAAAGACAATAGACAGGCTCATTTAAGGTAAAGATCGCCTTTTTGTCAAGGAATATACGGGCCTAGGACTTGACAACTCTCCACAGCTCGCTTTCAGTTAAGAAGTTTTAATTTCAGACCATAGAGCCAGTAGAAGGTAATGTTAAAGATATAGATGACCTGGGTTTAAGTCCAGGCTCCCTTACCTTGTGCAAGAGAGTAACCTCTCTGTGAGTCACTTGCCTTCACTGGTGAAATGGAAATGATAAGAATGACTGTCCAAGGGTTTTAGTGAGGATTTAATGAATTGGTGCATGCAAAGTATTTGAAGATGAACACATTGGTGTATCTGAAGATGAACACATGCTATATGTTTATTTTGAAAGCCTTATAAACCACACTGACGAGAATGGTGTTGCAACTTTATTCTGAGGGCAGTTGGGACCTATGATCAGATTTAGGTTATATAAGATCTTAAAAGGATCACCCAGGTTGTAGTCAAGAGGTTGAACTGGAGGGGAAGAACTTGAGGCAGAGGGTCCAATGAGGAGGCTGTTGAGAAAACTGAGAAACACAGAAGGTTCTAGGCAGGAAGGAGGCTGTGGAGTCAGAGGTGGGAGATATGAAGGAGGCAAGAACACCTATTGGCAGTATGTATTGCTAAGGGAGTGGTCACTGGGGTCCTCCTGCCTCCGTGGGGGGATGACTCAGCAAGCGTGTGGATCCAGGCTCTGCCACTTACTAGCTGTGTGTCCTTGGGCAAACAGTGCTCTCTCTCTGTCCCTCAGGGTCTCGACTGGGGCTGAGGACTAAGGGAAGACAACTTTGCCTTCCTGAGTGCCTGCTATGTTCTAGGGCCTTGTCATGGAGTCCTGAGGGGGTAGTGTCAGGCTTTCCATCATTCCCTGAAGGACCCAGCTCAGAGCAGGTGGGGGTCATCCTACATGACTGACTAATGATTGACTTCTAGTCCTTTCCTCTCTGAGGACACCTAGGCCATGGCAGGGGAAGGGGCCCACCCTGGGTTATCCAGTTGAGCCAAACTAGAAGCCTGTTGCGCGCTTTCCTGCCAATCATGCTAGACTCTTGTCCTTTCCCAAGGTCAGATCAGCAGGGATGGGAGGACTAAATAAGAAGGAAATGTGGGATGCTGGATTGCTCCCCTGAAGGCAAATCACACAGAGCTGAACCTCATTTCCATAACCCCTGAGTCTCAAGATATGCATGTAATGTCACTCCCACTCCAATTGTGCCCCTTCTGCCCTAACGGGTTTGGCTCAGTGGATAGAGCGTCGGCCTACGGACTGAAGGGTCCCAGGTTCGATTCCCGTCAAGGGCATGTACTCTGGTTGCGTACACATCCCAGTAGGGGGTGTGCAGGAGGCAGCTGATCGAAGTTTCTCGCTCATCAATGTTTCTAACTCTCTATCCCTCTCCCTTCCTCTCTGTAAAAAATCAATAAAATATATTTTAAAAAAAATTGAATAGCAACACTAGGGGTCAGACTCTCCTCTGTGCCAAGCCCTGGGCTGGGCATTGGGGAGGCAGAGACAGAAGGGAATATCTGTTTCCTGTAGGTCTTTCATGCCACCCTGGAGACAGACCAATAGATGTTTTTAATGCTAAGGGTGAGCACAGGGATAGATATGTACTGAGCACATGTACATGTGTACAATGGAGTGTATGGGGAGTGATGTGGAGTGTGTGGCAGTGGGCCTGAATGGATCAGTCTTTGATATCTGTCCTTCCCACCTCATTTCCACAGGAGCCAGGCCTGGACCCCAAGCCCATCCTGGCGTTGCCCCTGGTGGAGCTGGCTCAGAAGCTGCAGGCGGAAGAGCTGAGTCTGGAGAGTGTCCTCTGTAGCTACTTAGAGGAGGTGGGGGTTAGGGGTCAGGGTCAGGACTTAAACCTGCCTCTGGGCTGGAGTGGGGATGGAGGGAGGGGCTGTGGTGACTGAATGTCCTGTCCCTGGCCTCACTGTGAGCCCTTATCTGGTTTCCCTCAATGTTGCTCAGGCGCTGAAGGTGCACCAGGAGGTGAACTGCCTGACAGATTTCCTGGAAGAATGTGAGGAACAACTGCAGGCATTGAAGAAGCTCAAGAAGAGTGAGAGAGGCCTTCTCTATGGGGTCCCCATGAGTCTCAAGGACCCCTATGACTGCATGGTGAGTCCTGGGGTGTATATTCTCAGGTGTACATGTATGTGTGGGTGCACACATGCCACTGAGCCTGTGAATATCTGAGTGTGTGACATGGGCAAGTTACTTAGTCCAGGATGCACAGCTGGAAAGTGGCCAATGGAGACTGAACCCAGCAGCTGGGTTCAAACCAAAGCTCAAACTCAACCACCATGTTCTTCTGCCACCTGTGAATCCACCTAAGGTGCTGCACTGTCTCAGAGGGTGTGAGAATGGATGTGGGTGGGGGTCGAATGGGGAAGAGTCTGTTCACTGTAACTACCCTGACTCCGAAGGACTGGAGTTAATGTCACTTTCCTGCAGGGCCATGACTCTACGTGTGGCCTGGCACAGTTCCTGGAGAAGCCAGCGGCCAAGGATGGGGTCCTTGTGAAAGTGCTGAAGGCCCAGGGGGCTATTCCCTTCGTTAAGACCAACATCCCCCAGTCAATGCTCAGGTCTCTGAAGTGGGCAAGCTGGGGCTGGGGCTGGGGCTGGGGCTGGGGCCGGGGCCGGGGCCGGGGCTGGGGCTGGGGCTGGGGCCGGGGCTGGGGCTGGAGTTGGAGTCAGGCCCAGGACTGAAACAGCACCTTGAAGTCCTGATTTAGAGCAGAGGGTGAGGTGGGAGTCAGTCGTGCAGGCCTCAAGGACGAAGGTTCTTGGGCAAGTCTTTGTGCCCTCTGAGCCTCAGTTTTCTCCTCGTGTGTGGGCTCAATGGTCTCTAAATGCTCCTGGGCTTGGAGGGTCTGAAAAGTTATGTCTCTATTTCTCTCCCAGCTTCTGTCTCTAATTGGTCTTCTCATCTTGTATTCTCTCCTCCCCATTCATCCTTTAGTGTATCCAGTAAAAACAAAACAAAACAAAAACATTGGTTTTAGAGAGAGAGGGAGAGAAACATTGATGTGAGAGAGAAGCATAGATCAGTTGCCTCCTGCACACACCCAATCACACCCTGATGGAGGATTGAACGTGCAACCTGGGTATGTGCCCTGACCAGGAATCAAATGTGCAACCTCTTGGTGCATGGGACAGCACTCAACCAACTGCGCCACACTGACCTGGGCTAGCACTTCCATTTTTCTGACAGCAGAGCCGTGGGCTCCTTGCTCCTTATTTTAGGAGGTGATTGGTGCCTGCTATGGGTCTTTCCTGCAGCAGTGGCATCTCACCTCAGCCCTGGGAGGAGCTCATGAGTTGAAGCAGCCAGTGGTCAGCCTCTATGTGGGGAAGGGGCAACATTCCCCAGTCAAACCTTCACCTCCCAACTCCTTTTCTTCTGCATCCCTCAGCTTTGACTGCAGCAACCCCATCTATGGACAGACCCGGAATCCTTTGAACTTAAAGAAGACCCCTGGAGGGTCTTCGGGGGGTGAAGGAGCTCTGCTGAGTAAAGGGGGTTCCATCCTGGGCATGGGCACCGACACAGGGGGCAGCATCCGCATACCATCCAGCTTTTGTGGTGTCTATGGCCTCCGGACCTCAAGAGACCGCCTCAGGTACTCAGTGGTGGTGCTGGGGTGGGGGTGGGAAGAGCAGGCTTAGCCCAGCCTAGAGGAATTAGGGGTCTGGGGAACAGAGGGGCCTGATCCACACATTAACTCTCATTCACTCAGCCTAGTACTAGGGGAAAGTGGTGAAGGTAGGAGGGCTTCAAATAACTCCTGCCTCAGCCACAGCATGTTTGTTACAGGTGGCAGTGGAATAGACCTTCCACTCATTCATTAACTCATTAGTTCATTCATTCAGTCATCTTACATTTATCCATTTACCTACACTTTGAACTTTTAGAGGCAGGGCAAGGAAAGGGAAGGCTTCCTGCAGGAGGCAGCATTTGAGTTTGGTTTTGAAGGCTGGACATGCAGAGACGGTATGGAGTCCAGAAGGCTGTACTGTAAGCAATTAACTGCTTGGAGCAATATGTGTTCATGGAAGAGCTCGAAGAGGAAGCTACGGAAGTTGATACTTTAGAGCCTTGAAGGGCAGTCAAAGAGATCAGACTTTATGTTAAGGGAAATAGTGAGTTATGAGAGGGTTGAAGCAGCTCTCATACCTGTGTGTTAAGCTCTGGGGGAGTGCATTGGCTGGGTGCTCAAGCCTCCTTGGCACCCAGGCCCTTCCCTTCAGCTGCTGAGCTGGGCTCTTGGTGGGTGGGGATTTGCAGCTACACAGGAATTGCCTCTGCTGTGAAGGGCAAGACATCAGGTAAGCTCCTGTCTGTGCCTATTCAAAAACAAACCAGCCAGCCTTTCTCCAAAGGACATTTCACTCAGCCTTGATCTCAGACCGATCAGCCCCACTGGTGATAAAGGCATCTGGGAGAAGGGACTTCATGGCTTGGGCCTGGCCTCCCCTAGCCCAGTGATTCTTGCCCCACTGAGAAGTGCTTTCTGTTATCTTGCTTTAATCTTTCCTGTCCCAGATGAGATTCTCCCTCCAGGCACCAGAGCTGCTTTGGCAGGTTTATCAACTGCACCTGTCCTCGATCCCTGACCCAAAATGGCCCCCATGAACTCTTCCTTTGGCCCTGATCATGGCCCTGGGCCCCACCCTCTGAGGCCAGGGAGTGGGGGGTCCCCAGAGCAGAAAGGATGCCTCCTTCCCCTCTGCTGTGCAGTGGCCACCGTGGCTGGCCCCCTGGCCCGGGATGTGGACAGCCTGGTGTTGTGTCTGCGAGCCCTGCTGAGTGAAGACATGCACCAGCTGGACCCCACTGTGCCTTTCATGCCCTTCAGGGAGGAGGTAAGCCGGTTTGGGGAACAGACCTGGAGGGCTCCTTCCTCTCCCTCCCCTCATTCCTCATTGACCTGTCTGCCAACCCCTCTGAAGATCTCATTTCCTAGTCCAAGGTGCAGCAAGCAAGATGCCCACATGTTCAACTCCCTACACACATCCTGGTATGATCAACCTATGATCATTGTCTGTCATCCATTCTTTGCCTCTGTTGATCTCTCCATCCTTATCCTGTTCTGGCACTTCTTTAGCTTAAAAATGCTCATGTCTATTCATCTACTAGTACTTATTTGCCCACCCATTCAACTCCAACTATTCATTCATCCACCTACTCCTCTATCCATTCAAATCTCTGCCTACCCACCCATTTACCTTCTCATACATCCACCCACTCATTCATTCATGAATTGATCTACCTATCTGTTTCATCCACCCAGTCACTCACGACCCCATCCATTTCTTCCTTTTTTTTTAAATCCTCACCGGTGGATATTTTTCCATTGATTTTTGGAGAGAGCAGAAGAGAGAGGGAAAGACAGAGAGAAATATTGATGTGAGACAAACACATTAATTGGTTGCCTCCTGCATGTGCCCAGGCCAGGGCCCGGACCTGGGAGGAGCCTACAACTGAGGTATATACTCTTGACTGAATTGAACCTGGACCCTTTGATATGCAGGCCAACGCTCTATCCAATGAGCCAAACTGGCTAGGGCCCCATCCATTTTTTGTTATTCCAGGGGAGTCTCCAGAGGAGCTAAAGCCTGAAAAGTATATAGGAAAGCCTATATGTGGGTAAGGCCAGCTGTGGCCCAAGGCCCCAGTCTATAAGTCTGGCTCCTGGAGAGAGTGAGATCACCTTGTCCCCAGCCCAATCTCCTATCAGAGCCCTACTCTTCTCCTCTTGCCCCCAGATATACTCCAACACCCGGCCCCTTCGAATTGGCTACTATGAATCAGATGGCTTTTCTCAACCATCTCCTAGCATGGCCAGGGCTGTGAGGCTCACCTGCAGACTGCTCCAGGATGCAGGACATGAGGTAGGCTTACTTAACCCTGGGGAAGCAGGGTGGAGTTTGGGGAGAAGGCTGGACTGGTGAGGATGCTGGACTGGACCATTCTTGGAGAGAAAGGAAATTATATCCAGCATGTGCTGGGGTGTAGGGGAGGTAGGGGAAGGTCAATAGGGAGGAAAAATAAAGGAGACATATGTATTACTATCTGTAATACTTTAAATAATAAAATAAAATTTAAAAAATAAGAAAGGAAATTATATCTAAGTTTGGGCTGCTGACATCATTGTGTTTTCCCTAAATTCCATGGAGAAGATGGACTGAGAGGATATAGGGAAGAGGGGAGGGGGAGGCTCACCCTGTGAGAAAGGCATCACAATTCTGTGGTTTCTCCCTTCAGCGGTGGGGACTCAGGGATTCACTCTTAAAATTCCTTCAGCCTTAAATGGCCATAAAGATCTTCCTGTCTTCAAAATCCTCCTCCCCCTCCTCCCCCTCCTCCCTTGCCTCTCATGTCCCAGTGGCTTGTCCTGGCCCTGCCTCCCCTTTGAGAGCTGCTTGGCCACACATGTACTATGTGACCTTGGACCACTCTCTTAACACCCCGAGCCTCAGTTTTATACCACATGGGGCAGCTGTGCAGGTTATTGGTCAGTGATGTCACATGTGAAAAGCATTTGGTCTGAGGCTGGATCACAGTGGAGCAGGCAGGAAATAGGGCCTGGTCCAATTCCCATCACATCCCTATGAGGGAGTGGGCATGGCACCCACCCACAGGCCTCCCCTGCCCTGCTGAGGAGCTGAGGTAGAAGGAGATGAGGAGTGACGTGATTTTCTCTCCTTAGATCCTGAGGGATGCGGAGGGAAAACAGAGCTGGGTGGGAAAAGCTCCAGGCCCTGACTCAGCCTCTGTCTCCACAGGTCATTCCCTTCTCCATCCCCCGGATAGAGTATGCCATGCAAAAGCTCTACACAGGGGGTCTGTTTGCCGATGGAGGGGCCACACTTCTCGAGAAGCTGTATGTTTGATGGGACTCAGACGTGGAACATGGTGGAAATGGGGAGAGGGGACCTGTGGGTCTGGATTGGTGGGATGCCAATGGCTAATTGTATGACCTTAAGTCATCTATTCATGCCTCGTTTTCAGAATGTACATGTTCCAGGTGGTGGTGGAAACAGAAGTGTTTCTTTGGGTCTGACCTCCCTCTGTGGCTTATCTATGGAGGGGGAGTTGGGTGGGTGTGGGAGTCAGTCCATGACTGAAAAACTGTAACTGAGCAGCCATGTGCCTGTGGTTCCTCAGTGAGGGAGACATTGTGGACCCCTCCATGAAGGCATTAGTCACCGAGCTCCGCCTGCCAGACCTGCTGAAGTGTATCTTGGCCAGGATCCTGAAGAAGATAGTGAGTGTGGGCCTAGGATGGGGAGGGATTCAGAGGGGGTGAGGCCCAGAGAGGAAGAAGCTCAGAAGGGGGGAAGGTTGACTCAAGGAGTGGGGTAGAGTCAGAGAGGAGTGTGAGAATGTTAGTGGCTCAGAGCTGGATTCAAGAGCAAGAGGAGCCAAAAGAGGGGAATAGAGGCCAGAAGAGATGAATGTTCTCAGGGAGGGGAGGAAGCTTAGAGAGGCTCTGATAGGGGAAGGGCATCTTAGAGAGAGGAAGGGGTTTCACAGAAAGGGAAAGGGATTTAGAGAGGGGTGAGGGCCTGAAGGGGTCTCAGGGCGGTGTGAGGTGGTAGTGGCTTATGAAGGATTGAGGGCTCCATGTCAGTGTACCAAGCAGAGTTGCTCTTCCTGGACCCCCACCCAGGGCAGGTTGGCACTGGCCTGTGGTTTCTGAAGTTGGTGGCCCCCTCTCTCCTTACCTCTAGGAGCCCCGAACTGCCCAGAATTTGGAAATGATTCGTGGAGTGAAGTGAGTAGTTGAGTCTCTTCAGGTTCAGCTCACCAGGGTTTTGCATGGGGTGGTGATAACTGAGTGAGGGGCATGTGGTTAGAGTCGGTGTTCACTGGGGGCAAAGGCAATTTAGACTTTGGGATCTAATTCGGGTTTTAGAGTCATGCCTGACACTGGGTTAAATTTAGACCTTTGAGTGGGTTTGGGATTGGGGTTTGATTTGGAGGTAAGCTCTGAGTTTAGGCTAGAATTGGGTTAGGTTGTGGTAAAAGGTTGGGTCTGAATTGAGGTTAGATTTGGGCGGGGTTGAAGTTGGTGTGAGTTGGAATTGGGGTTATGGTTGGAACTGGGCTGGGGATGTGGGTTGAAGAGAATTCTGATTTGGGCTTGGGTTTGCTGTTGGGCTTGCCCTTGTGGGGCTTGGAGTTGAGTTGCTGGTTGGAATTGGGGTGGAGTAACCTGAGGGCTGACCTGAAGCCTCACAGGTGAAGAAAGGAACTATAGTTTTGGGGGGCACTTGTGAGTCCTTGTGGCTGGTGGTGGTAGTGGGGTATTGACCAGAGGATGTGTACTCTTGGGAACATTGGACAGGCAAGGTGTCTTGGCGAGGGGACAAGACACAGGGTTATTCCCAGCCCATCAGCTGATGTGCAGCCTGCACTGAGGCCAGGCCCTGCCACTTGGGCATCATGCCCCATTTGTATAAGAGAAGATCCTCCCAATCTGCCCTTTGGACTTCCCAGTGTCTTCCTCATTCCTCCAGGACACCCAAGAAACTGTGGGAGCAGCACACAGCAGTGCAGGTGATGTGTGCCTGGCAAGACCTCAAGGGACTGCTAGATCAGGGGCAGCAGAAGCCTGGTGGTGACACGAGTGGCCAGACAGGGGGCAGAGCTCTGTCCTGGCCTGCAGGGGAGGCCTGGCTGCACCTGGATGGGAAGGCTTAGTGACCTATGAGGTTAATCTAGTCCATCTCTCTGGGGCCTGGATGATACGTTGTCCGCAAATCACTGTAGTCTGAGAGTCCTCTTCCCATCCTTTTACCTTAGCCCCTGGTAAGACCCTGACCATTCCCAGATATCTCAGTCTGCATCTCATAGCTTCGGAATTCTTCCTGGTGCTTAAGCCAACTGAGCCTGGCAGCACCTGACCTTGTCCTGCAAACAGTGACCTCTGCTGATCTTATCCCTCCTACCCCTGTTGTTGCTGCAGGAATATCAGCAAGAGTTCATAGCCAAGTGGAAGTCCTTGGACCTGGATGTGCTGCTGTCGCCATCTCTGGACCCTGCCTTCTATATAGGCTATCCTGCCAAAGCATCAGGTGAGAGGACACTGGGTCCTGGTGGGGTTAGACAGGGAGTCCAGGACTTCTGAGTCCGGCCACAGCCTATGTGACCTTGACCTTTGTTTTCATTAACCTGAAAACATTTTTTCTCTTAAATTGAGATAAAATTCAGGTAGCATAAATTCACCATTTTAAAGTGTGTGATTTAATGTTTTAGTATAATCAGAATATTATGCAACCACCACCACTATCTTCTTCCAGACCATTTCCATCACCTTAAAAAAATATCGTACCTGTTAGCAGACACTCTCAATTTCCGTTTGCTTTAAAAATGAACTTTTAAAAGTGAATTTCCATTCGCTTTAAAAATGAAAAAAGCACAGATGCTCCTCAACTTAAGATGGGGTTATGTATCAATAAATCCATTGTAAGTTGAAAATATCTAAGTCGAAAATACACTTAACCTGGTGAACATCAGCTTAGCTTAGCTGGTTTTGCTGAATATGTATAAGTAAAGTAAAAAAAAAGTAATCAAACCATCATAAGTTGGGGACCATCTGTATAACATACATGCAATAAAATTCACAGAGTGCAATTTAATGAATTTTGACAAAGGTATATAGTGGTATCACCACCACCATAATAAAAATATAGAATAGTCCCATCACTGATCAAATTTCTCTCATGTCCCTTTGCAATTTTTCCCTAACCTTACCCCTCCCCCAACCACTTAATCTGCTTTCTCTCACTATAGATGTGCCTTTTCTCGGATTTCATATAAACAGAATCATAGAATAGGAGGCTTTTGTGTCTGGCTTCTTTCACTGAGCATGTGCATTCACCCTTAGCATGCTTTGTGCTGCCCATTTCTAGAGGTGTCTGTAGCCCAACCCCCCTGAAATGCAGGCCTCAGCATAGGGCAGTGTCTGAGGCATCACTGGGTCTCGTGCCCAGAACAGGTGCAGTGTCAGGGGTGATGTCAATGCAGAATGAAAACCCACCTCAAGCCTGGAGTCCTCTCCCCTGGGTCCTCCACAGTGGCTGCCCAAAGGCACACCCACACTGTGCTCTGCTCTCTGCTGTCTGTAGGCATCACGGCCACTTCTGTGATGCTCCGTCCCTGCACACAGGTGGCTGTGGCCATAGAGAAGTCTTTTCAACTCAGGTTTGCACTGCACACGCCAGCCATCTTGAAGCCTAGTGTATTGGAGGGCATGGGCGGAATCTCTGCCACTCACCAGCTGTGCAGCCTGTGAAAAGCCATCTCCCCTGTCTGGCACCTGGGTTTCTTCATTTGCACTCAGGGAATAGTAATCCCCATTTCGCAGGGGTGGAGAGGATTCAGAGAATCAGCAATGCAGAGATGCCCGGCACTGAGTAAGGCTTGGACAATGCGTTTCTCCTTTCCCAGGCCTTGCGGGAAGAGCAGGGAGTGTTTGTCAGATGATTCCCTGGGCGATTTCAAGCCCACAGGGATGCAGTTCCGAGAAGGACCAGAGGGGGAGTGCTTACTCACGTCACATTCTTCCTCACCTGAGTCTTTGGGAGTTGATTTCCTGGGCTAACCTGGGTCTTCCTACAGCTAGCAGCTCTTACCACAGCCTGTACAATATGTTGGACTTCCCTGCTGGCGTGGTGCCCGTCACCACTGTGACGCTACAGGACGAGGAGGAACTGGCCTTCTACAAGGGATACTACGGAGATAGTAATGACAGAAACTTCAAGGAGGTCAGTGTCCCTCTCCTTACCTCTCCCCCAGGAGCACAGACCAGTACTGAGTCTTGCCTCCATCCCTGTGGATGGGTGAGGGCAGGGTGGGATGGGTCTGGGCATTCCCAGGGTTTAGCCTTTATCACTTCTGCTAAAGTGATAATGTGTCACCCCATCCCCGAGGACACACCATTTAATGTCCAGGTCATCCTCTGTCCTTGTCAGGGGAGAATATTTTACAAAAACAGTGGTCTGCTGGACACCTCTGTAAGGAAAGTCCAATGCAGAGGCAGGAAGGGTGGATCAGGGCAAAGGCCCCGGGGTAAGAGCTTACTGGGAAACAACTGGATACCGCCCTTCTCTGGGCCTCAGTTTCTTTGTCAGAAAAAAACAGGAATAAAAAAGTCTACTTTGCAGAATTATGTTAAAGGTTAAATCAAAAAAGACTGAAGCAATTAGCATAAGGTCTTATATGTAGGAAGTGTTCAATAAATGCTACTATTATTAATTCAGAGGTGACTGACCAAAAGGAAATGTTTCTATGGGCCTATTCAATGCAGGGTCTAAAATAACAACCCTGACTTGGGTGAAAGAGAGAAAGAGAGAGAGAGAGAGAGAGAGAGAGAGAGAGAGAGAGAGAGACTGACTTTGAAAAGTATGCATGTGTCTGAGTAAGACATTAAGTAACTTATTTTTCTGGAAATTATTTTATTTTTTACTTACTGATTTTAGAAAGAGAGAGGAAGGGGAGAAAGAAACATTGATATGTTGTTCCATTCGTGCATTCATTGGTTGATTCCTGAATGTGCCCTGACCCAGGATTGAACTCGCAACCTTGGTATATTGGGATGACACTCTAATCAACTGACCTACCTGGCCAGGGCTGGGAATTGATTTTAGTGGTAGAATTACCCAGTGGAACTGCTGAGAAAATAATAATAATGACACTATCTAGTGTGTCTTGAGCTCTTCCTCTGTTCCAGGAGCTGTTTAAAAGTGATATATAGAGTGCAGCCATAGTGGCTCAGTTGGTTGAGCATCGTCCTGTGCACCAAAAGGTGGCCAGTTTGATTCCTGGTCAGGGCACATACCCGGTTGCAGTACAGGAGGCAACTGAGGCAACTGATTGATGTTTCTCTCTTACATGGATGTTTCTCTCTCTTCCTCCTCCCTGCCCCCCTCTCTCTTTCTCTCTAAAATCAATAATATATCCTCAGGTGAAGATTAAAAAACAAAGACAGGCATTCACAACAGATGGCTATTGTTGTGTTGGCTCTTGTCATTTTTCTATTTGACAATCTAAGTTAAAGATAAGAGGTCAGTGCCCCTGACTAAATAATCGGGTATTACACGCTTTAAAAATTCTTGCTGCACACTAGTGTGATGGAAAATTGCTGTCATAAAGCAATGAAAACATGTTTGAATTCCTACAATTATGTTTGGATTTCATGGCAGGCACTCAGGCTCAGCCCCCATGTTCCCGGGCTTGTGTTTGGAGTCAAAGCACCTCTTTCACTGCAGAAGCGTAACTAGGTTCTGGATCAGGGACTTGCACATTCTTCTTTCCTGTGCTAAGAACATTGGCTGGATACTTGGTTTTATATTTCATTGTTATAGTCAGCTCTTTGCACAAGGAACAAGTTTCACCCTGGAGAAGAAGGGAGAGTGATATAGAGTTAGAAACATCGATGAGAGAGATCGATCAGCTGCCTCCTGCACAGCCCCCAGTCTTAATATGGACTGGAGATGAGATATTTGGATTAATGCATACCTACGGGAGGTGAGGAGGGGTGGGCAAGGGGCTTGTGGACAGGAACCAAACTGGTTCGGCGTGATACTTGGTTTTATATTTCATTGTTATATCAGCTCTTTGCACAAGGAACAAGTTTTACTCTGGAGAATTGAAGACAAAGTCAGAACAATTTTTGCAGGTTTTACCGAGAGCTGAGGAAGCCTGGAACTCTGAGATCCAGGAAATCTCTATCTTAATATGGACTGGAGATGAGGAAATCTCTATCTTAATATGGACTGGAGATGAGATATTTGGATTAATGCATACCTACGGGAGGTGAGGAGGGGTGGGCAAGGGGCTTGTGGGCAGGAAGCAGGCTCTGATTTACAGACACTCTCTGAGCAGGCGGTGGAAGGATCCGTGGGGCTCCCAGTGGCTGTGCAGTGCATCACTTTGCCATGGGAAGAGGAACTCTGTCTTCGGTTCATGAAGGAGGTGGAGACCTTGACCAAGAACCAGACGGAACCCAGATGAGAAGCTATTTCTTTTGGAGATCTTCCTACATCCTTATCCAAGTCTGTTCCCAATGCCCCTTCCTTCTCATGAGTGCCATATCCACCTCCTATCTCCTCTGGGAAGCCCACCATATTCCTTTTCTTTGTAGTTTTTTCTGTCCTTGTAGGTGCTTCATCGGTGGACTCAAAGCCACTCAAGATGGGGATCAGGGTGAAGGGCTCAATAAACATTTCTTACTGGCCAGCCTTGTGATTTCTGATCTAGGCGGACTATAGCCTCCCGACGGCCTTCTGCCTCCAGCTGTCCTCCTCCAGCTCAGTCCCCCAGATGCTATCCCAGATTGCAGCAGAGGGGAACGAGCCCCAAACTGAGAGGCTGCAGGCGTGGGTTCAAGTCTTGGCTCTGCCACTGGCTTGCTATGCAGTGCTGGGCAAATTACTCCCCCTCTCTGGGTCTGTTTTCTCACCTACAAATTGAGGGAGGTAGATTTGATCACTTAATTATTCTGTGAGCTGTGATTCCTAGGTATTTCCCTGACAAGCACTTGCCACGGCCCTCACTGGGGTCTAGAGAAAGTTTCAGAGAGCAAGACCAAGGAAGGGAAGCCTAGTCAGAGCACACCCTGGGTGGGGACCCAGGCCTCAGCTCACAGTCTGGTGCTTTGCCCACAAAGTGCTAATTTCTTGGTGCGACCCACAGCACCTCCCGAGGTCCTCCATGTCCTCTGCCTTGGCTCTGCTGGAGCACAGCCTCCCTCATTTCCTCAAACGGGAGCCCTCTTGGCAGCACGATGCGCTTCTGCCTCTGTTCAGACTTTCCTTTTTACCTGAACATCATCACTGTCCTTTCTGTCCTTCAAGCCTTTTGACAAATGCCAATTCCTCCAGGAAGCCTTCTTCAATCCCATCAACTCCCTCATGACCGCCCCTTCATCTATATCTTGAGATCCTCCTGTATCAAAACTTACCCTTCCTCCTGGCAGGTAGCTCAGTTGGTTGGAGCATTGTCCCAACACATCGAAACCTACCCTTCCCACTCCTTTCGTCACTGGGTCTTATCGGTGTGGGGACAGTGGCGGCAATGAGACAGAAGCACTACCTTGTGTCTGCAGCGTGGAAACCGCAAGATAGCTGCCTGGACCAGGCCTGTTACCGCCGTTGGGCCCATAATTTGTCACACAATGCAAAAATCACTTTTGAAGAAACATGCCCATTCTATTTCCAGTTGCTGGTTCTAGACGGACTATGAAAATGCACTGAGTGGCCAGATTATTATGACCACCCCATCAGTACTTCATTGACACTTCCAAAAATAGTGAATATTTAAAACTTCCTAAGCAAATACTCTCAAGGTGTTATTATTATTATTATTAGTAGTAGTATTTGCATAATTGTACTGATGGGGTGGTCATAATAATCTGGCTGGTCATAATAATCTGGCTACTCAGTGTAAGAAGTGTTTAATGGAATTTCTGAAATGAAAGTTAGTCAGAAAAACAGATTTTAGAAAACTTTTATTTATTCTCTACGTACATGAAAACTAGCATCCAGAAGCATTCTTCAGTATTTATGGAGAAAAGACCTCATTAGAATGAATAACTGAAACCTGCCTACCTCACAGGGTGGGACTGAGAATAAAAAATATATGAAAGTACAGAGAATCTACACTAATAAAAGGGAAACATGCAAATTGGTCATCACTCCGCTACGCCCACCAGCCAATCAGTATGAGTATGCAAATTAACCCACCAAAGATGTCGGGTTAATTTGCATATGCAGGCGCAAGGCGAAGACTGAAGGCTCCAGCCCAAGTGAAGACTGAAGACTGAAGACTGAAGACGACTGAAGACTGAAGGGGCTTGGCTTCTCCGCTGCAGCTGGAGCGAAGGCCTGGGTCCCGGGTGCCAGAGAAAAACCGGTGCCAGCAGCCAGGAGAAGGAAGGCCTATTGCACGAATCTCTTCGTGCAATGGGCCTCTAGTATATTAAAGAAACCATATACCTAAAACCTATATGATTTTATTACCAATGTCACCCCAATAAATTAAAATATATATGAAAGGTTCTTGTAAGTAGTAAAGATATACACTGAGTGGCCAGATTATTATGACCGGCCAGATTATTATGACCACCCCATCAGTATTTCATTGGGCCACCTTTTGCCTTCAATACTGAGGCGATTCTTCTTGGCATTGACTCCACAAGATGTTGAAAGGTGATGTGAGGAATCTGACACCATGCCTGATGAATAGCACTGTCCAGTTCTGTGAGATTTGATGTTTGCGGAACCAGCTGCCTGATGGCTCTTTTAACTTCGTCCCACAAATGCTCAATTGGATTGAGATCTGGTGATTGTGGGGGCCCCTTAAGCAAGGTAAAATCCCCCTCATATTCTTGAAACCACTCCTGCACAATATGAGCACCATGGCATGGTTCATTGTCTTGTTGGTGTAAGCCATCAACATGATAGGATGAATTTGATCAGCAATGATACTTAGGTATGTTGTGCTATTCAGATGTTTATAATGGTCTGTCCCTCTAGCAACTTCAGCACGAAATTATAGCTAATTTGCCTACAAACATCAGGTGGTCATAATAATCTGGCCACTCAGTGTATATGGACAAAACGAAAACAAACACACACACACAACTTCCCCTTCCCCTATCTCCATGTCGGCAAACCGCGGCTCGCGAGCCACACGCGGCTCTTTGGCCTCTTGAGTGTGGCTCTTCCACAAAATACTGACTTCTGCCCATGAGCCACGAAGTTTCAATCGCACTGAATGTGCGCACCCACACGTGGTATTTTGTGGAAGAGCCACACTCAAGGGGCCAAAGAGCCACATGTGGCTTGCGAGCCACCGTTTGCCGAGCCGAAGTTTGGCGACCACTGGGCAATGGGATAGGGCCTATCCCAGCCGTGGGCAAACTATGGCCCTCGGCCGGATCCGACCCGTTTGAAATGAATAAAACTAAAAAAAAAAAAAAGACCGTACCCTTTTATGTAATGATGTTTACTTTGAATTTATATTAGTTCACACAAACACTACATCCATGCTTTTGTTCCAGCCCTCCAGTCCAGTTTAAGAACCCATTGTGGCCCTCGAGTCAAAAAGTTTGCCCACCCCTGGCCTATCCCATTCCTCTTCATAGTCCCACTTCCAGTCAACTAGGAAAACCAGTGAACTCATTCTCCCTTGTGCTTGACAGCACAAACCTTCTGGAGATAATATCTCAGTGCAAAGGGATTGAGTCCATCCATCCATCCATCCTACATTTGTTGAAGACCTCCTCTGAACACAAATGGTGGAATTTCAGGCAGAAAAAGGCCTGAGCTTAATTAACTGAGTTGAAGACCCCAGGAGTCACACTAGAAGGGCAGCCCTGACTCCACTTAAAATAGAAGAAACCATCTGGGGTGTCCAGGTGCAGGGTGAACTGAGCTACTGCTGCTGTCACTATGGCCTCCATCCCTCTCCAGGCTTTACCACAGTCTGAGACCTCTGCTGGAGGAGCCTCGGGGCTTACCCTCACTCAGTGAGCAGGGCTCCTGCTCTGTTCTTCCTCCCCTTTAGAGGGAGGTCTAAAAGGTTCAGAGATGGTGGGGTAGCGGGGAGCCGGGCAGAGAGGTTTTATTTCTTTTTTTAACTCAAGTGCCTCCTGCCTCCTTTCCCTGCGGCTTACTGGCTGTAACAGCAGGGGGCAGCATTGAGCTTCATACAGCCCAGACATTACTGCACTGTGGCCTTTTAATCAGATCCACTGTTACCAGGACTTTTTCAGTCAGATCCTTGTCCAAACTCCATTGTGAAGATGGGGACACTAGAGGGTGAAAAAAATAAACATAGGGGGACACAGAAATAAGCCAGGTGCTTTGACTTGGTAAAACATTTGCGTATTTTAGGAGATAGGGGGTGGAATTCTATTTTTGGCTGAAATTAGCCTGGAGAAAATACCAAATACCAGGCTAAGGGACTGAGTAAGCCCCATCGTGGGGCCAGAATTCTCTCCAGGCTGGGATTTGTCTGCTTTCTCTAGAGCTGACATTTGGGGTCCACATCTGCCTTCCTCCCCAACTCCAGCTCCAGCTCCTGCACTGACCTCTAACCTCTTACTACCTCCCAGCATCACCTCTACCTGGTCTGTGTGATGTAGGCAGGGCATTGGCATCCTCTAAGTCTCTTGCGTAGGGGCCTCTCTGAGGCCCGTGTGTGGGTGCACATGGGCCTCCAGGGACATGATATCCCCTGCGACCCCCCTTCTCCCTCTAGGACTTCCACCTGGGAGGGCTTGGCCTGGGTGCTCATATACCCAGGCTCGGCCTTCTCGGCGGCCCTAGGCAAATCTCCCAGCTTCTCTAAGCCTCCGTTTCTTCTGTAAAATGGAAATAATGATGGCATCTGTCACAGCCTCAGGATGAGACAGATCCACAGAAGGTGAAGGCCCAGCGGAAGATGACCTGGGAGTTGCTGTGGAGTGAGAAGCGGGCATGGTCCGGGTGTCTGTCCAGCATTCACTGGAAGAGCCAGCTCCTCCTGGGAAAGCCTGCCTGAGGGCAATAGAGGACTTCAGCTCAGGAACAGGAAGATTCTCAGGGCCAGGTGTTCTACCAAGGCCGAGGCGAGGCCCCGTGGGAAGGGGGCACCTTGGGTTCTAGTCCCGTTTCTGCGCTGTGGCATATGGGTAAGGCCTATCCCCTTTCTAGGCCCAGTTTCCCCGTTGGCTGCAGGGGGAAGGACTGTCAGCATGTCTTGTCCCCCACCCCACCCCCTTCATTTCGAAGGCTCTGCCAGTCGACCTATCGTCGCCCCCTGACCCTGCACCCCTCGCTGGCGCTGCGACTTACCCGCTTCTCCACCCCACCCACCGCACTCCCATCTCGTCACGTAGCCAGGCCCACGAGGGCCCGACAGACCGACCCTAGCGGGGGCGCCCCCTCCTCTCCCGCGCACGGACCGACAGACCGCCGCGGGGGAAACCCGCCCCGAGTCCGGCTCCCTTTCCAGCCGCCCGGCCGCTGGCTGCGCAAGGGCCGCCCCGCCCGCCGCGCTCCCCCGGCGCCCGCATTAAAGCGCATATGCAAGCCATGAATTATCAACTGAAAGGAGTCAATTACCGGCTCTAAAAACGAGTGTCTGCGCCGGGAGCGCCCCGGGCCATCCGCCTATTTACGGAGTGATTTCCCCCGCCCGGCCTTGCAAGGGAGAGAGACGGGGGAGACGGAGCCCGAGACGGGGAGGGAGAG